GACAAGCCAATGAGAGAGCGGTGGGTGACAAAGGGGAGACTCAAAGCAAGACTGGCCCTGAGCTACTCCTGGAGGGCGAGCCCCAGCCCTAACTAAGCCTGCCTGTTCTCTCTGAGCCTCTTTCCTCGTTGTCAAACAGCTGCCCAAGGATGACCATCTGAACAGAATAGAGAGAGAGCATAGGGCGTTGCACATGGCATATGGCAGGTGCCCGAAGCCGGGGCCCTTGCTGCAGCTGATGCTGCCACAGCATCCTGTCATTGTGAGTCAAGACACTTTCATCTGCAAACAGCAAACACAGCCGAAGCCCATCTAGACCAAAGACGGGTGCTGGCGAACCACGTCGGATAGCATTAATTTCATGGGTGGACCTGACCTCTTCCCAGGGTAGATCCAGGCCTTGGTGGAGTTCTCAGGAACCTGCCCCCCTCACCTCCCCATGTGGTCTGCTGCTAGCTGCCTATCCTCTCATGATGGTCCCTAGAAGCTCCAGGTCTGTGTCCTGTTGAGCAGCCTCAGGGAAAAAGTGTCTTCCGATATGTCTGGCAGAACTAACTGGCTGTAGTTAGTCTTTTGCTTTGCCGTGTTTCTTCCTTCGCCAACAAGTAACGAACGGTACACAGCTCCCCTTCCTCTACCTCCCAGCCAGCTGCGTTTCTGTTAATAACTGTGGAGTTAGCTGTGTGACCTTAAGAAAACCATTTAAACTCCAGGGCCTGTTTTCTTGTCTGTAGAATGGGGGTCCTGTGAGAGCATCGTGAGTTGCTCAGGGTTAGTGAGCGGATCACACACATCTCAGCAGTACAGCACCTGGTTTTCTTCAGAGGCCTTCACATTTCCAGTCGCTTTGAGTTCTGGGTAGAACATGGACAAGCCTAGGCTCGTCAGAACGTGCCTTACCAGCCAGTGATTGGTTCAGGGGAGTCATATGTCTCAATAAAGACCAATCAGGATAATTTTAGTGTCTCTACTGGAGAGGCCCAGACGTATTTCATGGGAACCTAGAAGGATGTGGTCCCCAGACCAGACAGAACTATCACATGGCCACACAGGGAGAAGCCGTGAGAAGACCAGACAGAACTATCACATGGCCACACAGGGAGAAGCCGTGAGAAGATGAACCGACAGAGAAGAGCTGGGAGCTGGGGAGATGGCTGAGCGGGTAGATCGCTTGCTTTAAACGTGAGGGCCTGAGTTCAGACCCCAGCACGTCTGTAAAAATCCGTGTGTGGTGGCAGACTGGTGACTCTGGAAGGCAAAGCTCAGCCAGGCTCTCCTTGTGCCTCCCGGCCAACCAATCACTGTGGTCCCTGGGTTGTATGGCCATTTCTCTGCTGGACCACAGCCTCCTCACACTCTTCTTCCCCCTCTAGGCCGTCCGCCGCCCCTAGCCAGCCTCCACAGCAACTGATGCAGAGATAATCGCTAAAACAAAAACTTGGCCATGTCATCCTGGTCTCCACAGCCTCCAGGGACCACCCAAGGACTCAGGATGAAGCTGTCAGCCTGTTCAATCCCTCTGTCTGACCTCATGTCTGTTGTGGAATAATCTTTCTGTACACTGTGGAGATATGCCACTCAGATTGGTTTAATAAAGAGCTGAAGGGCTAGGCAGGCTTTCCAGGCACATAGGATGCTGGGAAGAAGGGTGGAGTCACAATGAGGCACAGAGGACAAATGACATGTAGGAGATGAGGTAACAAGGCATGAGCCACATGGCAGTCCGTAAATTAATAGAAATGGGTTGATTTAAGTTATAAGAGTTGGAAACAAGCCTAAGCTATCAGCAGAGCTTTCACAAATAATAAGTTTCCATGTTGTGATTTGGGATCTGCTGGCAGGACAGAGAAAGACTCGCTACACATGCTTGTGCTTTCTCCAGCATCCTACCGTGGCATTTCTTTAGTTCAAGCACACCTCAGGGCTCTAGTATATGTTGCCCGAAAGCCTGGAGCACCGTGGGCAATTCACCCAACCGTCACAGCCAATGGCACTCACTCGCATGGCTGCTTATGCCACACACTGCTTGCCCGCCATTCCTTCCTGAGCCTGGATCTTGTTTTTGTTTTCTGTTTATTTGGTTTGTTTGCTTTTCAGACAGGGTACTGCTGCCCTGTAACTTGCTGTGCAGACCAGTCTGGCCTTGAATTCACAGGCTCTACCTGCCTCTGCCTCCCAAGTGCTGGAGTTAAAGACACACACCATGCCCCGGCCCTTGATCTTAACTATCATGAAGTCACTCAGATCTGAAAATGCAAGAATAATTATCAAACACTGTGGAACCCTCCGCCGTTACAATGTTTTGGGGGAGGCAGTGCTAGGGACTGAGTTCAGAACGTCCCTCACGAACAAGTGCTCCACCACCCACTACCCCAGGCAAAACAGCACAGTTCACTGAGGCCTTTCTGAACGCCCATCTCAGCTCTCTCCCTCCACCCTAGCTAACACGGTCCTGAATTTGGTATTCTTCACTCCTACACACCTGCCCGGACACACCACATACGTGTGTCCCTGAGCAACACAAAGAACATCCCTAATCCCAACATCTAAAACCCAATATACTCCAAAATATAGAGCATTCCGAGTGCTGACATGATGTCCTGAGCAGAAAATCCACTTGTGTCTTCATGGGGTCAGTTTCAGTCAAATGCAGGTACATTCAAAATAATGCATAAAGCTGCCCTCAGACTATGTGTAGAAAGTGCATACGAAATATAAGAATTCCATGTTTACATTTGGATCCCAGTCCCAAGATAGCCAAACATTCCAAATTAAAATAATAATAATAAATTCAAATAGAGGCAGATGGATCCCTATGAGTTCAAGGCCAGAGTTCCAGGGCAGCCAAGGCTAAACTATGAGATCCTGTCTAAACAAAACAAAGCCAAGTCAGCATGGAGCTCCTGGCAAGGGTCCCACAACCCATTTCACATCTTTAACTGCCTTCACAAGACTCCCTTTGCTGCCTCAAGGCATGCACGTTCTGTCAGCGATGTCTCTCCTGCCGATGGGCCTGACCCATTTGCTGCTAGCATCCCATCAACGATGGCGCCCGCCCGCCTGCCAGTGATGACATCCCACCACCCAGTGACAGCATCCTGCCATGACGGCATCCCACTGGGTCCCTGTCTCCAGGTTTACCACTTGCTGCTAGATTGATAAACAAGGTTGTTCTGCCAATTTGCCTCTGTCAGTACTGCTGGTGGTGCCTCCTCCTATTCATCCTGCCCACAGTGCCCAAATAAAAGGATCTAAACCCATTAACTTATGCTGGGGCTTCCCAGACCGCCCCCCTTCAATCTGCTACAGCTGGATAATCTAAAGGGCTTCCCTGTCTCCAGATGTTGTTGGCACTTTGCAAAATAACCAGAATAAAGAGGCTACCAAGAAGTATTGTGGTAACTCTGGAGGCCCAGATCTGATCATAGACCTTTCTGGCTGTGCATCTTTGAGCAAGTTAGTTCACCTCTCTGAGCCTGTTCTCTTACCTACAAAATGTAGACACTAGCCATAATTGTCAACAGGAAAGCCACAGTGATTATGGGATGGGGGTGGGGGGTACCCGGAGCTCAGGTTACTTCAGCAGCCAGAGAGAACCACTAATTCTGTGTATCCGTCAGAGCAGTGTTGGTTACACAACAGACACTCGAAGCCAGTTGCTGACACACTGTGATTTACTGACCCACATGACCCAGAGGTTGTAGAGGTCATCTTGCTTATGTGTGATTAGACTCAGGAAAATGATCATGTTTAAACCACCTTTCTCCTTTCCGTGGCTTCAACACGGGCAAATGGGGTCTCCAGAACTACATCCTTCTGGCCCAGTAACAGCTGGGATCAACAGGCAGCAGGCCAGCCCTATCTGAATTATCATGCAAGGCAGGAAAGGACTAGCTCACATCCCGGGATGGAGGGCGGGGTTAGCGTCTCTAAACCCACACAGGATGGAACTGGGACAAGAGTGGGTCCTGAAGGAGGCCAGGAGAAAACTCTCAGAACACAGGTGGTGGAGCCAGACCAGACGATTCAACACACTCACCAGGTCATTCCACTTCCAGAATGAGTACGCTGGCCCTGCAGCGAGACCTGTGGTCGTGTCGTCACATAGTAGCACTGACACTTGCTGGCTGCACCTGAACGCCAGCTGCCTTTAGCCACTTGGGCGGGGGGGGGTAAGATAGGTTCCCATTGTGTGTACCAGGCTAGCTTTTAAACTCCTGGGCTCCAGAATTCCTCCCACCCCACCCTTGAGCAACTGAGACTGCCAGTACACACCACCGTGTCTGACTTGCTCAGACCACTCCAGTTATTTCACTGAGAACCACGCAAAAGACAAGAACCAAAACACCACTGGGGTCAGCAAGGCCAGCCCTTTGTTCTAGAAGTGGAAGGAATGAGGGTTGCCAAGGTAGGGTCCAGCTGCTGACACACACTCCCCACCAAGCACTGCCCTGCACCCTGCTCTGCCAATGTCAAAATAAACAACTGCACATCCATTAGCTACCTGTAGGGAGATACATTCTGAACCCAAGAAGAGCAAGGCTGGGTGAGATGTCTCACTCAGAAAATGGCAAAGTCCAAGTCATTGGCTGCTGCCACTTGCAGTATTTAGCCAAGACTGTTGAGAGGGTAATGGGGCCCCTGTGGAGGAGGGAGACCCACAAACAGAAAGAAAGACAGAGCTATCCAGACATCCAGACACTCTGCAGATTTGTACACACACACACACACACACACACACACACACACACCTAGACCCATAGGTCACATATGCCCACATTTACAAACATCCTACAAAGAAAAGGGCAGCTATCAACAGAACACTACCTTACACAGCCTTCCAGAACCCCCAAACCAACAGGGCTGCTGATATTGGTACACACCTGTAATCCCAGCACCATCGAGGCAAAGACAGATGATCACCCACAAGTTCAAGGCCAGTCTGATCTACACACCAAGACCCTGCCCCAATAAAAACAAACAAATACCAAAAGGAAGACTTTGGGCCATATCAGCCTTTATTCCACAACAGTCAGACAGGAACTAGATTCATTCTCAGACTTCGTCAGGAGATGCAGAGTACTGGGGATATAGACTGGACCCCAAAGTGACAATAAGTTAGGGGAGATTCTCAGACTGTTGACAAGGCAGAGAGGTCAAATGGGACTCCCTTAGAGCTGCCCCCAGCTGTCCAGTTCTGCCCTCCCAGCAAGGCTAGTTCCAGGACAGACGGCTGCAGCTGAAACACAACAGGGCAGGGGAGACAGGGAGGGCAGAGTTACCAAGCCATGAAACCAGTCGGTATCCAGAGCCCCAAGGCATGTGTCTAACTGTCAGGGGTGGCCAGGAAGGGAGTCCTGGAGAGAAGGCCCAAGGCAGGGGTGGAGACAGAGTCCACTCACCAGGCTCTCAGTTAAGTTCCTGCAGATTCTCATAATCGGGGGGCTTCCTCGCCCTCCACTCCCTCCTCTTCTCCTTCATCTTCCAGCTCCTGGGACTTCGTGGTGTCTGGGAGGGAAAGGCAGAGCGAGATTGGTGTTCAGCATGCTGGCTATCTGCTCAAGGCAGCTCTCCAGTTTCTGCCCCTTATACCGTGGTACACACCCAGCTCAGCCCTGGTCACTGGCTGCAGCTCCTGGGACACATTCACATACTCCCGACTCCCATCTGTGGAGGACAGATCAAGAGGGGCAGTCTTGTGGAGGGTGGGGCTGTGTGGAGGGTGGGAGGGGCTGTGGGCCACACACGGGATGCAGTCACCTACCCAGAGATGCTTCTCCACTCTCCTCACTCTCGGGGACGTTCACATAATCTTCACCCGACTCCACTGTAGGACACAGCGTTGCAGTGCAGTTACTAGAAGACCCTCAGCCAGGCACTGGTTCCCAGAGGCCCCCCAGGTTTCCAAACACAGCCTTCCCCTGAGGCAGTCCCACAGGATATAGAAAGAATGTTCAGGAAAAGCAAGGGGGAGTAGCCTGGGCAAGGGCAAGGGCCTCAGGGGACAGAGATCCGCTGGGGAAATGAAACAGTGACAGTACAGGACCCCGGCAGTACAGCCGGGAGCAGGGATCAAAGGAGCCCAGAGTCCAGACATCTTGGTGGCCTGTGGGAGAGATGACACCCTTGGTCCAGATGGTGTCTTCTCTTCATCAGACCTGTCCGGCTTCTCAACATTACCAGCCACTGCCCACACTACACCTTCCCAGGCCCACGTATATCACTCGATGTGTTACATGGTTTTTTGCTTTCTGGTTTCACAGTTGCCTGGTTTCTGTATGATCATGTAGACAAGATGGGCTTTGGAGCCAAATATTCTAGTTCAAATCCTAGCTCCAGCACCGACCAGCTTTATAACCTCAGGTGAGTTACTTAAATACTCTGTGCCTCAGAATAATGTTCATAACAGGATATGTCCCGCAGGACTATTGTGAGGCTTGAAACAGTAAGTTGTAAAATAGAGCTTGCCATACACTGTGTGGTACCAAGTATCTGCTAATAAACCTGTTGGGCATGGTGACACATGCTTGTGGTCCCTGAAGACTGAGGAAGGAGGTAACTTGAGCTATGGGCTTAAAAGCCAAACTGGGCATCACAATAGCAAGACTATGTCAATCAATCAATCAATCAATAGAAATGAAGGAATAAACCCTAGCATAGTACAGAGACAGAAGTGAGGGGCAGGAGGGGAAGAGGTAGGTAGTCAGCAGAGCACCCAGGAACTGAGGTTTAATGAGTTATATATACTATATGGGCATAAAATAGGTCCTCAGTTACCACAGCTCTTTTATTATCTTTGTGTGTGTTCACACCCATGAACACATGGAGGCTTTATCCACTCCACCTCTGTCCCTTGATACAGGGCCTCTAGCTGAACTTAACATCAGTTATTTTGCCCCTAGTGATGATTCTTTTATCACTACAAATTTGCTGAACTGACTCACTAAATCCCTAACATAACCCAGAAGACATATGCAGGAAATGAGTGAGGGGATGGATGGATGGATGGATGGATGATGGATGGATGGATGGATGGATGATGGATGGAAAGAATCAGTCTCAGGGTTCAGAAGAGAAATGACACATTAGAAATATGGACTACAAATGGAACCAGAGGCCAGGTGTGGTGGAACATGCCTATAATTCCAGCACCCAGCAGACAGAGGGAATTGAATCTCTATGAGTTAAAGGCCAGACGAATCTACAAAGTGAGTTCCGGTGCAGCCAGGGCTACACAGTGAGATTCTGCCTCAAACAAAACAAATCAAAACCCACAAAGATAGCCAGGGTACAGAATTAATAGTCTAGGGTAGATACAGAAGGTTGGGTATTCCTGAATTAAAACTCCAAAATTCAGAATATTCCAAAATCCCAAACCTTTTAAGTACTGGTATAAGGTAACAAGTGGAAAATTCCACACCATGAAATTTTGGTTTCATGCAAAAGATTAATTGAAATTTGCATAAACTACCTCCAGGGTTGAGCAAGGTGGCACACACCTTTAATCTCAGCACACAGGAGGCAGAGACAGGCAGATCTCTGTGAGTTTGAGGCTAGCCTGGTCTTCAGAGTGAGTTCCAGTACAACCAAGGTTATATAGTGAGACCCTGTCTCAAAACAAAAGAAAACAAAATCCTACCTTAAGACTATATATACACACATAAAGTGTGTATATAAATATATATGGTAACATATAAAAATAAATGAATTAATCCCATGTTTAACCTTGAGTTCCATCCACAACAGAATTAATTATATGTCTATAAATATTCCCAAATCTGTGTGTATGTGTTTCAGGTAAGGGACAACCGTGATATACAGAGGGAAGAGGTAGAAAACTGAAGATCATCAAACCCTAAGCAAAGTCCAGGGAAGGAGAGCAGGAAGGAAAGAAACCAAAGCAGAAGAACGCAGCCCATGAGAAACAAAGACCGCATGGTAGAGCAGGAGAGAGCTTCAGTGAGAGGTGAGTGAGCAGGAGACAGGCACAGGGAGAGAAACAACCTCCAACTAAAGTCCTTACAGACACATTAGATGATATTGCTTCCATGAAACAAGAACAGGGTACTTAATAAAAAGAACACCAAGAAGCCTAAAAAAAAAAGGAGCTTTCCAATAAAAGAAATTAATTGTTTCTTTTCTTCTTGTTTATGGTAGTGCTGTTTTGGTTTTTGAGAAAGGGTCTCACTATATTGTCCAGGCTAGCCTCAAACTCAACCCTCCGACCTACATCCCTCATGCCAGGGTTATAAGCGCGTGCCTGCACATCCAGCCGAGAAATACAATTTCAGTGGAAGGCTTAAAGAAGCGTTAGGAAATTTCTTAGACAACAGACAAAACGATAAGACAGAGGGAGGAAAGGGGAAAGGAAAAGCAAGGCGATCAGAAGTGAGGAGCCGGAAGCCCAGCATTTGAAGGAGGGGAGGTCAGGGTGGCAGTCACAGAAATGAGAGGGAAGGGAGGCGAAGCCGCAGCACATGGCGGAAGGAGGTAGTCAGAAGCCCTAACTCACTGGAGAAGGCGCTGTCTCGGAGGCCAGGCTTGCTGGGCACAGGAGCAGAAGAGACGGCAGGGGTGCTGTCAGGAAGCACCTCTCTGGAAGGGAGAGATGAGGAGGTAAGAAAGGGTAACCAGCTTCCACGCCCACCTCCCACCTTCCCACTCACAGGTAGCCCTCGTTGGGGTAATCATCCTCATCTTCATCTTCATCCACGCTCTCACAGGCTGGCTCTATGAGGAATGAGAAGTCAACACGACCTGGGATAAATAGACCCAGCCTCCCCACCCTGCCCAGTACCCCAGACCCTAGACCCACCCTGGTTCTCGTAGCTCGCCACACTGTTGGCTTCAAAGAGAGAGGGAGAGGAAGATGGAGTCATCTGAGGCTGCACACCCTCTCCCCAGCCCTCAAGCCCTGTACACCCTTACCGTCATCTGAATCCTGCCGGGAAGATGGCATCTGATGGGAACCTCCAAGGGGCTGTGGGGATCTCCTGGAAGCCAAAGGTCAGGGACCAGGTCTAGGTAGGAATCTGGGGGCAAGAGGGGTTGCAACAGGGAAAAAGCCACCCCCCATCCTAAAAGATGAGGAGGCGAAATGGATCAGAGGGAGGGAGCTGGGGGGTACTCACGGAATGGGGAGCAGGTCTGGCTGCCTCAGGGGCGGAAAGGAAGTAACAGGAGGATAGGAACTGGCAGTTGCTCTGGAGAAGGCTGTTTCTGAGGACATAGGGCCAAGCTTGAGGGAATTACTCCAGACACTCCCTCCCCCCGCCCGTGACAAGGCTTCTAAGGACAGATGTGCTCCTAAAAAACATGCCCTAAACAGGCATGGGGGCTCCAACTTTCCCCCAACCCAACCCAGGTAATAGCCTTGCAGACATCTTAGCAGGAAAAAGGCACACTCCCAAGAACCCTCAAAGAAGGCTAAGGACACTGAACTCACGAGACGGCTTGATGAGGATACTCCGTGGGGACAAACTGGCAGGAAAGAGGCAGCTTAGGTACAGGGCCAAGAGGGCCCCAGCCCCAGGCCCTTTGTGAGAACAAAGGGAAGACACACGGGGAACACACGGGACACACGGGGAACAGGACTGCAGTCTCACCTCTCCGTGGAAGTACTGTCGTAGGAGGCTGGAGGAGAGAGGCCCGTGAGGCAGGGTCAGGGTGCACCGGAACGAAGACACTCCCATCCCGCCCCCCAGGCAGGACTGGAGTAGGCACAATTAGAGGAAACCAAGGCCTGGGGAAGGCATGAGGATCCAGCGGGGTGCCCAGCATCCAGGACTCCACAGCCCCCCCCACTTACCTGGCAGCTCGCGGCAGCGCACACACAGGGCAGCCAGGAGCGTGACCAAGACGGGCAGCAGCAGGAGGCCCAGCCCCACGGGGCTCAGAGTGTCTGCTTCCATCTGCAGAGCCCCTGGCCCAGGCCCTGCTGCACCGCAGCCCCTCTAGGCAGAGTGGCAGCAGGGGTGTGAGGCTGAGTGGGCCCCCGCCTGGGATCCAGTGGCAAGCAGCTACGTCCTCCTTTGGGGTTCAGTGACCCCCACTTCCTTGCTAGACTGAACTGAGGTCAGTGCTGGGAGAGGCTAGCCCTAAAGCCTGAGCTGGGGCCTGAGCCCCAGCTACCAGCAGCACGATCCCTGTGCCCAGCTGTACCTGCCCTTTCTAGCCTGCCTCTCCTCCTCACCACCCGCGTGCGACAGGAAGCTGTGGTGAGGGCAGGAAATCATCAGGCTCCTCAGCCGGCTGCGCCTGCCCCCTGCCCACTCACCCCCACCCAGTTGTGGGAAGGGGGAGGAGGCGGAGGGACCTTGTGAAGGAAAGGTCTGAGGCTGCAGGATGAGGCAGCCGCTCCACTAGGGAGACGCGTGCCAGCCAGGCCAGCTGTGCCTCCCCAGCCCTGGGCACGGGAGCTGTAATGAGGTTCTGCCAGGGACTGTGTGGAACAAGGGTAGCACTGCCCCCACCTCCCAGGCTTGTTTCTGGAGAGCAACTTCCAGGGGACCACAGTGAGTCACAGTCACACCGAACCAACTCACTCAGAAAAGAGCAGGCCTCCTTCTAGATTGCCCAGTGCAGAAGACAGGGACTCACCCACGGGGTCACCCGACTGCCCCTGGTAAGTAAGTCCTGAGACCACAGACATTCCCTGAAGCCAATGGCACCCACAGAGAGACAAGCAGCCAGTTGTAGTCTGCTTACAAATTTTATTCCATTACAAATAGCACCAAACCCCTTGGGCTGCCCTAGTAGACAGGACACCTCCCATTTCTGGACCCCCACCTCTTCCCTGGGCTGCCCATGTAGTGTCTGGGAGCTGGGACATATCCCAGGGCTTCCTCCTTGGACCTGGGCCTGGTGAGGGCTTCTGCCTGGGCACCTCCTGGGGTGTGCCCAGGGCCCGCTGTGGTGCACCTGTGGCCGGGTGAGCAACAGCTCCTCAGATGAGCACGCTGGACACAGGGACCCGGGTAGAGCGGCCTCGCTGAGGCACCACAATCCGGTCATCTGAGGGCCCTGACTCATGCAACAGACCTGTGGGGAAGGGGTCAGAGCCAAGGCCAGTCAGATAAAATCCAGCAAGGGGACAAGAGACAAGCAGACAGAGGGGCACAGATGACACAGCAGCAAGAGTCCTCAGAACTGTGTATAGACAGAAAGTCTGATGACACACTTCAAGACACACTCAGAGCTGAGTGGGATGGTACTGGGAAGCTGGTACTCTCGACCCTGGCAGGTGGCTGATGGCATGGGCCTGGGCAGATGGGACAGTATGAGCGGAGGGACAGCTGTGGACTAAGATGTGGGGTGCATACGTGTAAAGCCAACAGACGGGCAGACTGAGGCGGTACTGGGAAGGTGGGGTGACAGTGGCCCTCACTGACCCTGCATATGGAGTTGAGCCCGTCGGCGGTCATCCTCAATGAACATGGCAGTGCCCAGGAAGGCCGCGCCACCCAGTGCACCAACAAAAGCGCAGAGCATGAGTGAGAACTGCAGGGCCCGGAACTCGGACAAGAAGGAAGCGGGCCAGCTCCGTCGGAGGCGGTCAGAAATCTGCTAAGACAAAAAGAGTCAGAGACCCAGGGACGTGGAGGCCTGAACCCCAAGAAAACAGAAAATGGAGCCTAGAAAGAGGAATGTTTGAACCACAGGGTGAGACCCACAGCCCCACAAGTAAAACCTTTACCCAACTTCCTTCCCAACCACCAGAGGCACTAACGGGGAAGCAGCCACAGGTGGCTATTGCCTAAGTAGACCAGACTATCCCATTCACCTCGGCTCAGATCACCAGCCACCAGCCAGGGTAGGGAGTACCAGGTCCCGATACCATCCCAGCCCAACCACGGATAGTACTCACTAGACCAATGAGGTAAGGGCTCCCAGCATCACCTAGCAAATGGGACAGCACAATCTGGAAGGCCTCAGCAGTGGAGCGTCGAGTTGGGATCACCACATACTGGGAAGAACGGGGAATTCAGTGGGGGTTCCCAGAGAAGCCAAAGCCCACTGTGGGCCCAAGGCAAGCCCAGAGTCCCCTCTGTGACTGGACTCTGAAGTATACATGCAGCCGAGGTTTGAAGGGGAGAAGCCAGGATTCACAGATCAAGGGTCATCTCCTGATCCCGTTATCCCTGCTCCCTCCAGCCTCTGCCCAGCTACTCACCAGCAGGATATCAGCCACGATGGCCCAGTTCATAGACAACAGGGTCTCCCCGATAAAGATAAAAATCTGGATGGCGAAGTGGGAGGGAATCACATGACCAGGCTTATCCACTGGCACTTAGTCCCCTCACACCCTGTAAGGCAGGTGCTGGCCTCAGCACCCACTTTACACCCGAGGAAACAGCGAGGTCATGCTGCTTTGCCAGGCACTCAGGTGGGAAGGCCCAGGGCTGAGATCTGAAAGGAGGCATTCCACCTTCAGTCTGTCCTGAACTGTTCTGCTGGCTCCCCCTGCACAAGGAGTTAGCTGCTGGCGGCCATCCTCAGTGGACATGGTGGTGCCCGGGAAGGCCATACCACCCCTCCTGTCCCCATGCGAAGATACCCACTAGACCCCTGGAATCTCACTCACGTAGGTGGCCACGATGCTACCTCGGGCACAGGCCAGGGACAGGAAGAGGAAAGGCGCGGAGCCCAGGAGGCCAGCAGCACAAACCAGTGGGTCAGCCCGAGGATTGACGCGGCGAAGGCGGCGGCTAATCTCCACACCCAGGCCCACACCCAGGACTCCAGTCAGGCATGTGATGAGTCCAAAGATGAGACTAGGGGTGAGCCCAAAGATGAGACTCCCTCCCTGGCATAGTCTACTTCAGGGGCATGGGAGCTACTCCTTCTCCCATGAGGCCCTCATACCCAGTAAGGACAGCCCACCCCAACTGCCCTCATAACCCAATCCATCCAGCACAGAGCGCCAGAGCCGATGTGTTACTTCATCACATGGTTCTCAGAACCAGAAACTGACGCTCCAAGAGTGGAGGTAGCTGGTAGAGTCGGAATCCAAACTCTCCCGGCCTGAGTCCGAATTCCCCGTATGTCCCCCACATGTAGTCACCCCGCCCAGCCCCTCCCAGGTACCTGTCAGAGGAGGAACATGAGTCTCCAGGGAGACAGGGCAGCGTCTCTCCTAGTACAACCCGGGAGCGCAGCAGGAACGCTGGGGCCCAGAGAGCCAGGGAGCCAGTGACAAAGGCCACAGCAGTGAAGCCAAGGGAAGACAGGACGAAACTAGGGCTGCGGACATTGGGAGGAAGTCAGACCCACGGGTGTGTCCTCTCTTCCCTCCCTGGCTTATTTCACTGTCGGGAGTTGCATGTGACCTATGCCTGTATCTCAGGCAAATGCCACAGGCAGGCAGCAACGCCTGGGTCTCTGGCCCTAAATATGGCCTCCTGGCAGGACATAAAACTGGGCCTGTTAAAGACGCCAGCCCCTGCTGAGGCCTGAGATGTGGAAGAAAGGGAGTGAACTCACTTCCGTGCCAGCGCCTTCAGATCTGCCCACCATGAGGTGGGGCTCAGGGGTGGTGAACCTGAGTGCCGCTCCACAGCTCCCCTCGGGGGCTCTTGTACCACCAGGAACAGCAGCAGAACAGCCACAACCCCGAGACCTGGTGTCACCTGGAGAAAGAGCAAGCTTTGGGGTGCAGGGCAGGGGTATACTGAACCTCTGGGGCCACAGAGCAAGGAGGTCAAACAGTTTAGCACCCCAGGTCTTAAACTCCATAAGGGCTGGTTCAGAGACGCGGGGACTGGGACTTGAGAAAGTTTGCTACTGGGGACACCCTATTTTCACAGGCCTACATTTGCTTCTTTGGTAACAGCACCCTGATTTTGTTTCAGGGACCCCCACCCAAATTTCCCTTCCTCCACATGGCTCTAACTGGCTCTAAGGCCTAACCTAAAGGTCTGTTAATCCCCTGCCTTCCATAACTGATTACACAATGGGCACACGACGGGCATTCATCCAATCAGACACCATCTCGTGACTATCGTTCAAGGGTCTGAGGTGCTCAAGTTGCTCAGTCAAAGACAATCACTTGGGACTCCCAAATAAAGGGAACATGGGGGAAGGAAAACTAAAACAAAAAGCGAGTGACTCCAGTGATGGCATGGGAGTCTGGGCCAGCCTTACTTTCCATCAGGAAAGCTAATAGTGTCCCTTTCCGGGGCTTACAGCTTCACACCTGCAAAGTGAGACTTTTGGCTCCCTGCTGAGGATCAGACTTGCTGCAGGCTCAGCTCAGCACAGGGAGCACTATCACAAAAAGGGAGTGTGTAGAGCCAGCGAGTTGGCTTAGTGAGTAAAGGGTCTTGCAGCCAATCCGCACAGCCTGAATTCAATCTCTAGGACCTTCAGGTGAAGGAGAAAAACCAACTTCCCAAAGTTGACCTCTGACTCCCACGGTCAGGCACGCATACATTTTTTTTAAGAGAGTAAAATAGGGGAATATCTTGCTGGTCGTTGGTGGCACACGCCTTTAATCCCAACCCTCGGGAGGAAGATGCTGGCGGATCTCTGTGAGTTCGAGACCAGCCTGGTCTATAGAGCTAGTTCCAGGATGGCCTCCAAAGTCACAGAGAAACCCTGTCTTGAAAAACCAAAAAGAAAGAAAAAAGGGAATATCTGCAGAGCAGAAAGGGAGAGCAGCAGTAAGAATGCTTACTTCCCAGACTATAACCAGACTCACCCGCAAAGCCCAGTGCCAGTCTCCAGCCACATCCTTCACTTTGGAGCCTGCGATGTAGCCTAGACCACTGTGGGAAGGCAAAGGGGAAAGAGGGCCACGCGGTCAGTCAAACACCTCATCAAGAGGGCCACGTGGTCAGTCAAACACCCCATCAAGCCCCTGCCCCACATCAAGCCCACGGCCTACTCACCTGCCCACAGGAATGGCAAAGTAGAAGACGCTGAGCATCCGACTCCGCTGGTCTGCCACGAAGAGGTCGGCGATCAGGGTGGGCGCAATGGTGGAGTAACTGGCCTCCCCGACCCCCACCAGGCCCCGGGTCAGGAGGAGCAGCCAGAAGCGCTGGGAAAGGAGACATGGGGGAGGTGGCATCCCACCCTGGAGCCAGGCTCGCAGGAGACCTCTCCAGCTAGTGCTGGAGGGACAGCAGGGACAGTGAGAGAGGCCTGGGTTTGGAATCACACAGACCTGGCTGGAATCCTGGTTCCACTTACTAGCTGTGACTTTGAGAAAATAACTTAAC